ACACCCCATCGACTGTTGGTTGTCTGGTGACGGTGTTGTAGTACGCGACATTCTAATTAATGAATTAATGTTGTCGAGAGCTGGCTGCTACGTGGTGGCAGGATGGCAGGGCTCACCCTCTACTCCCTACCACCCCCTGAAACCCCCAAAAACTCCTCTTGCCCCCTCCCTGTGTTAGGCTAAGGTCACACCGCGGATAGTGAGCTTCGTGACAGAATAATATCTTGACATATGCTTTGTCGATGTTTTTCAATGACTAATGATTTTTACTTCCTACGACTACTGGCCAAAAAAAATAAAGATTACGTCACGTGCCAAAATCACGTAACCTTTTTTTTTACTATTTACTATATCACTTATCCTTAATTTGAATTTCTCATCAAAAATTGATTGATTTCAATGATTTTCTTTTGGCAAATTTAATAGTTTATTGATTTTATAATTTCACTGGTATTATATCTTTCTTTCTCAGCGATTCAGGATGGTGTTGACGATCAGCAAAAAACTCTGTAGTTTTTCTCCGTTAGTTGGTTTCCTATAAAACATATCTTCTTCAAGGTCACTCAATATACCTTCTTCTAGAACGTTACGTGTTTCTGTTGATGTCATGGTGCAGGGGTCGTTTCGTAGTTTTCAGAATAATATTTGTAAGGGTTGAAAATCGGGGGTTGGGGATTGTAGGAGGTGGGGGAAGGTAAAATTGGGTAAGTATATTGCATACTTCTGACTCATCTGTCTAGCAGTGTCTACCAAGAGAATTACAAATACACCCTTGACTGGATTCTTCTACCCAGTCTGAATTCGTTGGGCAAGCATACCACCTCATAGCCGTGACTATGAGTATTAATGTACTTTGCGTTAGAAATAGTCACAACTATAGGAGTCACAACCATAGACGTCACGACCATAGAATGAATGCGGCCATAGCCGTGATTTTTATTCATGGTAGTGACAAATTGTCACAGTTTAATCTTGGCGAAGCTAATAAAGAAAGCGTTTTTCTAAAGACGGGAATTGAACCGAAATCATAACAATTCACTTTAATTTCATCTTCCTATCCCAAGGACTATCGTGTGCATGTCCGCAATAGGAACAGGAGCAGAAATAGAAGGACTGGAAACCCGAGCGACGTACGTTTCTGGTTACTGGCTCTATCAGGCCCAAATGGCTCTGCATCGAAAACACCCCAACTAACAATTATCACTCCTATTAGAGTTGCAAGAATGATTATACGGTATTCCTTACACAGCATTGTATACTGTAAGAATATTGGCAAAACCCTCTTAGTACAGCTATACAAGCGGAATGGGCACACGTAATAGGACACTTCAGTCATTTAAGAGGTTGTATAAGTTCTGCGGTAACAGTTATACAACAAAAATGTAAGCCTCTTGCAGCCGCTATAGGACATTTGCGTCAGTGTAAGATTCAGTTTTTGTCAACTATACAACTATTCTGTTACGTGATTCTACTTTATTGCAACCAAACTATTTCTTATGTATTGTATAGACGAAGTGAAGAATATATAAGTAACACATTACAGTCATCTTGTTTACTTACATATCGGCCATTGTAAATTTCATACACAGGTATATGATAAACTTCTACACTGTGATATAGGGCTATTACTTACGCAGCAAATTTTATTGTGATTATTGGGCAAAGTAGTTACGCAATTTCTACGGGCTTCGTCTTTGATTCATATTTTAATAATGATCAAAAGTATGTCTAGATTTTTAAGATGGAAAACTGAACTTATCTGCGTTAAGTCTTCCACAAGTCCTATATTTAGACACAATTACACTAATGTTTATCACTTTGTTCATCTGTAATTTCGAACTGAAATATAATTATTTAATATTAAATAGAGGAATAAATGTTTTCCCAATATGGCGGGCGGTTGTGTATAATCATGGCATCGTCCATGTTGCCTTTGGTTTATTAGAATATTTTGGTGTTGCCTGCAGGTGTTATACAACAAATTGACAAATGTCTGAAATGAAATACCGATAGAGTCGAATGATTTACCCAGAATTTGTACCAGATCTATATCTTCTGTTTGAACAGTTAATAAAACCTTTTGAACCAATATTTGTTGTTTGTCTTAAAATATTGGTTATAACATTTTAAAAAAAATACGACAGCAGAAAGTTAGGTTATGGTGAAGTTGTATACCAATATATTTAGCAACAAATGTATGCCGAGCACAGTAATTTTGTACTACAAAAGTTGTAATATTGTTGCATATGTACAGCCTTTAACAGTTCCTAAACAACAGTTGTATAAGTGCTTCCGTTGGGAGCAATTTGTTGGCTAAGGTAGTAAATTTACACAACAAAACAACAAGGCTCGGGTTTGTTTTATAAACGTTACCATGGATGCCACAACACAACCATTTTGACTAACGTGCAAATATGCCGTATAAAATAGTTGTATAAACGTTTATGCACCAGTTAAAAATTTGTCCTATAAGGTGTTGTATAACTATCCTATAAGAATATTTTAAACACCTCATTTTAGAGTAAACATATTGCAGAAAGCAAATTTGCATTCCACACATTAAGCCAGCATTTTGGTGTTCAGGCAACAACAATAGAGAGCTTTTATGGCTGAACGGTTCTTTTACCAAAAGCTTATAGCACTACTTTGCTAGTTGGGACTGGAGTGAAAACATAGGTATGCCCACCACATCTGGATACGGGTGTAACCTAGAGGAAGTCACGCATGGAAAGAGGCATACAAGCCACCAGCAAGAGCCAAAAGGCAGATTTGGGGCTTCGGTCATGCCCACGATTGTCTTTTGTTTTTTCATCTAAGTTTTCGCAAAACTACCTTTCTTTCTCTATAACTAAGAGTAAGAATAAATCCATACGTTGCTTTGCTCGGAGATATGCATGATGACAATTGAAGGGCCTGGTGTACCCGGTGTGGACGTTTACAAATGTAAACTGTGCGTCCATTTTCTGGAATATATTATCTTAGCTTAGAATTTACCTTTTGCCGCTGAGCCTACCATCTCCGATGTAGACTCAGCTTTATGGGTGGCAAACGGCTAAGCACTGTTTATGTCGCTCTAATTACGCGGCGAAGCTGAGAGCCAACATGCTGGCTGCCAACTGCTCACAGGCATTGTCGCTACATACCTAGATGGATTATATTGGCCATGGACGGTACTATCAGGATCAAGCTACACAACTGTGGTAGAAATATTCCACATTTCATCTTCTTCTTTCCCTTTTTTTCTTTGACTTTCTCCAGTATCTGGGCAACCAGATTTGGATGGTTTTGGCAGACAATACTCCAAAGTCCAAAAAACACAGTTAAAACTCTTGTAAGGAGCTTCTTTCTTCAACAAATACAACACAACTTTTAAACATATAAACATGAGAGAATGTAAAATACATCAATTAAGCCCCCTGGAAAGCTGTGGATTAGAGTGCTAAGAGAAATAAATATACTCCACATTGAATATTGCATGGAGCATATTTATGTTCGAGACGCATTTTACATAGATGAAATTATTCATAGGTTATGGCGCATGAGCTTAGTTCTGACTAACCACTGACAAGCATGTAAGTGTATTACTTATTATTTTTTCAAGTCTATCATTATATACAATTAAATATATTCACATACAAGTCTTGACGTTCCTCAAGGATCCTTGAGCCTCGATGGTGTCGAGGAATTCGAGTATCGGTCTGTTGCTCTGACAGTTTCTTCCCTCATAGTTTATTGGCAGCAAAAATCTTGGTGGGTGCTTTATCCTTAGATTTGAAGTCGATTACAACCGTTCTACGATGCCATGGAAGCGGTGGAAGGCATCTCTTTGGAGAACGTCTTTCAATTTGGTTGAATAGCTTTCAGAAGGAGCTGTTGCCATTCATGTTCAAAACTACTTTACCTAACTTTTACTCCGTGCTGGTGTTTGATACTTGATTACTTGATTACTGCGGTGAGCGATCTGTTCGTGAACGATCTCGATTACTTTGAGCGGAATAAGTACGCAAGGCGCGGCGACAGTGCGCTCAGCTTAAAACTGAACGGCACAAGGTCCAGTGGTTTGGTCAGACATTGTTTTGTGTGGAATGGACCGGGATATGTCTCGGGGTCCCTCAGAATGTTTTATTTATTTTCTTGTCGGTTAACAGAGCAATGAAGTTTTATATGTTTGATTCTTTAATATTACTATACTAGTTAATTATAAATGCCACGTACTTATTTTGTTCTCATATAATAAAATGTTGGCTTTCTGAGGATTTCTGAGCTACTTACATGTTTTTTTTTCAAACTGGCCTTGACCAGATAGAACACAAGAGATTTAAGGAACGATAATAGGATAAATTCTAGAAGTTCCACTGAGGTTAAAAAATGACCAGCCTCAATTATCGTTTGCCCCCCCCCCTAGACGAAATCCTGAATCCGCCCTTTGTCAGAGCTGGCATGCAATCAAAAACATTATGAGCAGTAGTAAGAAGATGAAGGCATACCATTTCCGTTTGGAATGGGAAGAACAATATTTCTTTACAGAAGCTAAAAAAGGGAATATCGCATTACAAAAACTGTGCATTCGAATTTTGCAGAAACGATTTCGCATATAAATGCGTTTATCAAAAAGCTTGAGTTTTGGAACAAAACTTGGTCGATGGCGATACCAGGCATTTTTCTGTTCTTTCAGAAAAGATATCTCAAAGTTCATTAGAACCATATGATAGTAAATATCATGTAGAAATAGTATCTAACTTGAAGGATACATTCAAAAATCGTTTCACCCTCCATGGACATTGATGTCCAACAGTTTGCAACTTCTGTTACGCAGAATTTTAGCCAAAACATCGCTGCAACAGAAATGGAAGTGATTGCATTATAAAATGATTTAGCTTTAAAATCATTAGTCTCAATAGGAATGAATGTAGTTATTTAGTTTACTTAAATGTATTAGTATGTATTATTATTAGTAAAATAAACACATGTATGTCGGATACAACTGTGTATAATCTCATTTAGGTTGGCTTACATTGCTTACGACTAGGTAGCTCACTGTTTATTACAAAATTATTGAAGTAGCTCAACAAACTAAAAAGGTTAGCGACCACTGCTCTATATTTTTAGCTTGTCTGTCAATATTGGGATCGTCAGAATTTCGAAAACATAAAATCGATATTCGGGGTTTGTTTTTTGATAACTCCACTGCTCTTGTACCGATTTTTGAAAATATACTGGTCCTCAAAGTTGGGACCGTACACGGCGTATACGAGCCCCTTCCCACTTCAGTTGGCCCACTTCAAGATTTGTACCAAAATATGCCTTTATAAACTAAACATGAAACTATTTACTTCTAAAACAATTTATTTTCTCAAAAACATTTTAGATACACTCTGGTCGTAAAAAATACATGTCTGAATTCACTTAGACCTATAACTAATATAACATCTGAAGAAATAAACAATGTGCAAATAAATAAAGTTAACAAAGCAACAATTGAAAGATTACCATTGGGTAACATCACCTTTATTTTTTATTACGGCTGAAATTCTTTGGGGCATAGTGTTAACCAAGCTTTGGCAAAAATTTGGTGTAAAACAATCCCATATTTCTTGAAGCTTTTGTCTCACTTCGGTGATTCTACGAGCAGGATGTTGTCGTGAACCTTTGTCATCTCGTGCCACAAAGTTTCAATAGGTGACAGATCTGGACTGCTAGAAACCCATTTCAAAAGTGGTACATTATTTTCGTCCATCCATTTTATAGCCTTTTTTGAGGTATGCCACGCTGCACCATCTTGCTGAAACGCAAAATCTTGGCCGAATGTCAAACATTCCTCCATCACTGGTAAAAGCGATTCTTCTAAAATTGCCAAATATTTGTTTGTATCCACATTTTCATCAATAAAATGAAGTTTTCCTAGTCCGTTTGATGACATACTGCCCCAGACCATAATGGATGTTGAAAATTTCACTTTTCTCTTCAAACAGTCAACATGGAATGCTTCATTTTTTGCGAATAACTCTACTGCGACTGTCACCAACACAAACCTCGAATCGGGCCTCATCACTCCAATGTATTGCACACCATTGTTGAGGTGTCCATTGTCTATGTTCTTTAGCCCATCTAAGCTGATTTTTCTTTTGCAGTGGAGTTAATAGTGGCTTTTCTTTGGCCTATAAACAAGTTGTGCAACTTTAGGGTTTAACCTTTACACATCACTTCTAAAAAGTGAAATAAAAATAGCTCACCCATAAGTAACATTGGAAGTGTTCATATTATTTGAATTTACGGTGAGTGTCTTCGAAATGCTACCGAGGCTTCGCGAGTGCTTGCAGATCATGTTTTTCAGATCCTTCGGGATTTCTTTTTTTGTTTGGGCGAAACGAAATGTTTAGTGTACAAAACTGAGGTGAACTGGGTTGACGAACTGCGTGCGCGAATTTAGCAATCTGCTGTATTCATCCGGAAAAGGCAGTTAGCTGATTTTTAAAGCCTACACTGATGCTTGGCTGCTTCGAACACATACATGTGTCTTTGAATCTATCGCAGACAACTTTGAACAATACTTACACGTGACAGAGCTGTACTTGAAATTTCTTTTCGATGAACGGAATGTATTTTTTTGGTTTTCGTTGTTATTTATCCACATATTAGCTTTGTTATTGCAAACGTAGTTGTTTCTGGAAATAAAGATCCTAAGTTTCAGGACACCCATCAACATTTTTTTTATCTAATTGGTTTAAATTTAACTTTATAGGTGTATAACTTACAGGGAATAATTTGTTTTTGAATCAATTAGAATAAACTCCATATATTTTGTGTGTCTTACCAACTCTGTAAGTTATATTAAGTTACAGTTGAACTCAACGAAAGAAAGACGAACGTTGTCGGTGTCGCTATAGTGATGTTTTTCAGTTTATAAAAGCACTGAATCACAACCAAAGCCTTATCACTGTCGGTGCAATGATAATCGTACTTTTCAGTTACAAAAAAGTCAAAAGAGACATGCAAAAGAATAATAGTCCCTTCCGAGGAATACAATAAATATTTGTCTCCCCTATGGCATGAAAAGTAAAGTACTCGAGCAAACTCTACTCTCCGTCCCTGAGCAACCGAGCCATCAAGCGCTAAAATTGAGCCGTGGAAGTGCGAAAGGCCCAGTAATTCATCCGCTATATTCATTTAGACGTCGCTGTAAAGCAAAGAGCGTAAGAGGAGGGGAGGAAGATACAAACATCCAAAGAGGGGGGGGATCCAAGAGGGGTGGAGGGTGTATACCTCTTAATTAGAAAGTGTACTCGGTAATTATAACTCATTTTGTAACCGTTTGTTAGACGAGAGAATCAGGGTGGGGCGCTAATTGGGTACATTTCGCTTAATTCGGGTTGTCTTACATAGAGCAGCCTTAAAGGAGTTGACACTGTTCTGAAGAGTTGGGAACTTCCTCGGCGACAGGAGTTTGTTCGAGAAATAACGGATTTGCGTTTTAAGAGACGGGGCGAAGGTGGTGTTAATTAGATTTAAAGGTGATTGAGTGACGCTGATAAAGAAGGCAGGTAGATGAGAAATAAATGTTTTGGTATTTTTATAAAACGCCTATGCAATAGACAGAACTGACCGAAACTAGTTATCTTCTATTTTTGTTCTTCGTATTCCGTTGCGCAGCAGTACTGCTCTCCCTTAGAATAGAATAGGATTTTTTTTCATTTGACTACAAAGTACGAGCCCCTTCCCACTTCAGTTGGCCCACTTCAAGATTTGTACCAAAATATGCCCTTATAAACTAAACATTACGAAACCATTTACTTCTAAAACAATTTATTTTTTCAAAAACGTTTTAGATACGCTCTGGTCGTAAAAAATACATATTTGAAATCTCTTAGACCTATAACTAATAGAACATCTGAACAAATACCATTGGGTAAGATCACCTTTATTTTTTATTACGGCTGAAATTCTTTGGGGCATAGTGTTAACCAAGTTTTGGCAAAAATTTGGTGTAAAACAATCCCATATTTCTTGAAGCTTTTGTCTCAGGTGATTGTACGAGCAGGATGTTGTCGTAGAACCTTTTTCATCTCGTGCCACAAAGTTTCAATAGGTGACAGATCTGGACTGCTAGAAACCCATTTCAAAAGTGGTACATGATTTTCTTCCATTCCATTTTATAGCCTTTTTTGAGGTATGGCACGCTGCACCATCTTGCTGAAACACAAAATCTTGGCCGGATGTCAAACATTCTTTCATCACTGGTAAAGCGATTCTTCTAAAATTGCCAAATATTTGTTTGTATCCACATTTTCATCAATAAAATGAAGTTTTCCTACTCCTTTTGATGACATACTGCCCCAGACCATAATGTATGCTGGAAATTTTACCTTTCTCTTCAGATAGTCAACATGGAATGCTTCATTTGTTTTGCGAATAACTCTACTGCGACTGTCACCAACACAAACTTCGAATCGGGCCTCATCACACCATTATATTGCACACTATTGTTGAGGTATCCGTTATCTATGTTCTTTAGCCCATCTAAGCTGATTTTTCTTTTGCAGTGGAGCTAATAGTGGCTTTTCTTTAGCCTATAAACAAGTTGTGCAATTTTAGGGTGTTTACTTCACTTTTTTTATAAGAAAACTTACCTTGAGTTGTGGACCTCGAAATTCCCCTTCCAATAGCGTCACTCCACAGAGCACTTAATTGTAAATAATTGGCACGCCTGTTTTTCAAGATTATTCTTCTTAATTCTCTTCGGTCGGCATTTGTGATATTACTTTTTTCACATATCGTGGCTTAATATTAACTGAACCAGTTACGCTATATCTTGTAACAATATTTCTCACAGTGTACCGCGATAAATCTAACAAAGTTGCAATTTCTGAGTTTGATTTTCCAGAATTAAAAAATTTAATTATCAGTAATCGAATTTTCTCACTAATAACCTTTCCTCTACCCATTTTGAAAATCTTAACTACCCAAAACTATTTTAAACGTATTCTGACAGCTGTGATTAATAAAAACAATTGCTTTTATTTTTCACAGCCACCTATGCGTTATATACTTATTTTGCATTCAAATGAAAATATGTTGATATGCTGTAATTGCAACATGTGTCATTTTTATACTGCAAGTTTGATTAGGGAGTGATAAAGTTGGTGTTTTCTACTATATATTATCAAAATATGCATTGTTAATATTTTAAACCTATAACACCCTGCTACATTTTTATTATTTGTGTTTGATAAGAAAAAAATCTAAGATTTCAATAGTTAGGCCAACTGAAGTTGGAAGGGGCTCGTAGTATTAAAAAATAGTTGTACACATAAACATAAACGACCATAGTCTAAAACAAAGAAAACAGTTTGAAATAACGCATAACTGACAAATGAAAACATTTAGAAGGCACAGTTGAGTATTCTTCTACGGAGCGAAAAGGGTTTTCTTTTAATATTTTTCTTATATGTCTCACAAAACCTCATTTTCCGCCGCTTTTATATACACAGACAGCGTGTTGTATAATTTTATATATAACGCTTGGTCCCTTTGGCGTGAGGACAAGCCGATGCATTGGGAGCTGCAAATTCAGGTTTGGACGTAAATTTTACATGATATCTGTGTCTCTCTCTGTTTGATTTTGCTAATAGTTTTCTTAACATAAACAAGACAATTGTAAATATAAAGGAAAAAAACTGACACAATACCATTGTCCTTGAATAATGTGTGACATGAAAATTTCTTATTTGTGCCAAAGATTGTTCTTAAGATTCTTATTTGAATTAAATAGATTTCGCTTATCGTAGTACAGTTTCTCCAATAAATGATGCAGTTATTGAGTACAGAATGTACATAGGCAAAATAATGCATTAACAAAACGACGATGCTGACATATAATTTCAACTGCCGTAATTTATAGCAATGTGTCATTAGTTTACGAGAAATAACGTCTATATGATTTGACCATGTGAGAGTTTCATTAAAAAGAAGGCCTAAGTATTTAATATGCTTAACAGAATTGTGCATGATTAACTCAGTTTTTTTGTTGTTCAAGATCCTGCCATTAGCGTCACAGTCATTTTTCATTCCAACACAAGGTCTGCAGGCATACTCTCTCAGTAAAGCATTATCTTTAGCTTTTACAAGAAGAGGCGTAAGAAATGGAAATACGTGGGCATCTTACTGTTACTGATTTACAAAAAATAAAAACAATGTAGAACCCAAAATACTACCTTGGGGAACTCGTACATGATTTCTTTGGATTCAGACATTTGCAGATCATTATTTTTCAGAACAGCTCTTTGAATCCTATTTGATGAATATCAGCGCAGCTAGTGATAAGCGCACAGTCTAGCAACATACACTGTATAATTTTCGTGAACAAAGCCCAATGTGAAAGGGTAGCAGTGGTTCCGCTTAAGTCGAAAAACAATAGCTACTTCATCTTTGTGATCAAGGCATTCCAAGATTTTTATAGCAAGCCCTGCATCTTGCGTTGATTTGCGTTTGTGAAAAGCATACTGATAATCATGCAATATTTCTAGTTTTTTCTGCAAATGCTATTAACCTAGCGTTTCAGCCTTTTTCGACTTATTTCGAAAACTCGAAGAGCTCTGCCTCTGTAGTTGGTTATATTGTTCTACTCCCTTTTTAAACATCGAAATGACTGATGCGTCCTTTAATACAGACTGAAACATCCCTTCCTCAAACGGCAGGTTTACCGAATGTGTCAGTGGTTCTTTTATTATACTAAAGAGTTCAGATATGTTAACCGGTGATAAAAAAGCTAGTAGGCTACTGAGTCAATAAAGTATTAATTCTATTTACCGGTCCACCGATGAACTGGATATTTAAAAAATAACCACAAAAGCGTCAGCTAAATCGATTTCACAGATCTTCTCCAAACAATTAACTCTGTCCACGACATTGTATAGGTGGAACTTTTATTAAGGTGAATGCCCATTGAGGAAAAGGAAGAGGAAAGCGAAACTCTTTCGCTAGTTAATGTAGCATTTGAAACTTCTCGTTATTGAATGACGTTTCGGTTCTAACGGTCACCTTCAAGTTCAGTTGACTTTTTTTGTCAATATATTTTATTTATCTGCCTTCTAGGTCGCACTTTGTTTTTGCCTTTCTTTTTCATATTCCTGTACAGTGTGCTACCACAATAGTTTGAAGAGTCATGTAATATGCTGAGATTGTGGAAAGCTATCATTGACATTTAAGACGACACCGCGCAAAATCAACAAAGCCCAGGAGCGCCTGGAATAGACATTCCCGTTCCCAAAAGAACGTCCAGCCCTACAAAGCTACAAGCGGGGATGGCGTTATCTATCGTTTTTAATGTACCAGACGCGATACCCTCGTCCATCGTCCCGAAAGCACCGAAAACGCAAAAATCCCTCCCAGAACTGTTGTCGTAAGAAACCGGTTAATTGTTACGCAATCTTCGAGTAAAATGCTGCATGTGCATTGTTTATAAACAATGCATGGACATTGCCGAAACAGGCGATCGTATGTCAAGCATTATGGCGCGCCTCTCTTCTCCCCAGTGAGTGAACACCTTTACACTGAAGCCTTTCTTCTGTATGCAGAGAGTGATTTCTCAATGTATCATACTTTCAAGAAACGTTCGGTGATTTGTAGCACTTTTAGTTAGAAACTTTTAAATCCCTATTGCTTTACGTGAAAGAGAAGCTTTTATGTATCGTTCTTTTTACTTAGCGTTCACTGTTTGACATACGTTCCCAAATCGTCGATAAATCTTTTAAGGCCAGTTTGCGTTTTTCTTGCTGGTGAATGAATGCAGGCATCAATCCCATTTCAGTTTTTCCTGCTATCTGGTCAGTCCATGCAACATAAAAAAACCAGTAACGCAAAGGAATATTACCATTCTTAAAATAAAGGAGAGATAAGTTTTAAGTCGCCCCTAAGACATTTTCAAAAAAGGATTTATTTGGGATTTTTGTGGATGAAGGTTTTCCTATTTCAATAGAGAAAACCTAGATTTTCCTCAGCGGCTGAAACAATATTGATGACATGCCAAATAATGTTCTAAATAGCACAGGATAGACAGCTTCTCGTAATGGTTGTCCCTTCAGAGCTCGATTACATTGACGAACTCTTTTCTACCAATATATCAGTGGACTCTCAGCTTTCCTCCACGATCGATGTAAACTGAGCAAGATGACCGCTACATTGTCTATAAGTGGTTTCTTGAGAAATTAAAACGCGATGACGACTACAGAAAATTTTCAGTAACCCAAAGTGAAAATGATTGGATACAATTTACAAAATCAAGAAATGAGTGTGTAGCAGTTCTACGGAGGGAAAAACAATAATATGATAAGAAGATCGATAGCAATAAAAATAATTCTAAAATGATGTGGAAAACATTAAAGAATATTGTTTCTAGTAATAGAAAGACTGAATTATCTAAAATGCGTTTCGAAGATGGGGTAGTGACAGACAAATTAATTATAGCAGAAAGAATGAACACTTATTTTATTGAAAGTGTAGATCAAATAGTGAAGGCCATTGATGACGATGATCCAAACTTATGTCCATTACAAGTATGTCAGAGTTCATCAATGAAGCAATTTAGGACAATTAAAATCAACAATCTAAGAAAAGCTATCCCAAAATTTAAATCTAATAAAAATCCAAGTGAGAATCTTTAAAAAAATATTCTAAATGATTGTTTCAATATAATTGGAGAGAAATTATTATTATTGGTGAATCATTGTTTAGTACATGGTGAATTCCCATCAATATTAAAGTGTTCCACCATTACTCCTGTGCCAAAAGTTCAAAATTCTCAGCTGGATACAAATATGCGACCGATTAATGCTTGCCCGATATCGAGAAGCTGTTCGAAGGGATAATATACGAACAAATCGTAGAATTCATTGAAGAAACCAAAATTTTGAAAAAAGCTGGATTTTGTAAAAAATGTTCCACAGAAACGGCAATCCAAATGGTGGTGGAAGATTGGAGAAGAAGTATAGATGAGAAAGAATATATTGTAACAATATTTTTAGACTTCAAAAGGGCATTTGAGACTATAGATAGGGAAAAATTGTTGATGAAATTGCCCCCTATTTTACGTCGACTGTTTATCTATCAAGAAAGAAACCTGATAGGCACATTTTATTGACAAA